AATCTCCTGTTCCTCCTCCATACCAGGCTATTTTCTACAGAAAAGCAAATGCTTTTGTATGAAAGACAAGTATTGTCTCCAGTAGTATTTTTTGTGTTCATAAGATTGTTGTTATGGAGGCCTCGCCCTCACCAAACTCCTCAAAGCTCCCCGCTAGGCCCAATGTTCCTTAAACTTTAAAAAGGATACAGGCATTCCTCAATTTACAACAGTCCATTTAGTAACCATTCAAAGTTAGAACGACCCTGAAGGACGTGATTTTTGACCATTTTTCACACTTACAATTGTGATGGTCACATGGTCAAAATTCAGACTCTTGGCAGCTGACTTTTATGACTGTTGCAGTGTCTCGGGATCATGTGATCACCTTTTGTGACCTTACAACAAAGTCAATGGGGAAGCCAGATTCACTTAACAACAACCATGCTACTAACTTAACAACTGGCAGAGATTCACTTAACAACTGTGGCAAGAAAGGTCATAAAATGGGGCAAAATTCATTTAATAAACATCTCGCTTAACAAGAGAAATTTTGGGCACAATTGGGGTTGTAAGTCAAGGACTACCTGTATAAAGTGGTGAACTTCTTACTGTGGGGGAATTTGCCTTTAATTCTTTGGCATATCATCTCCCCCCAGATATTAGAATGCCCCCCTGGAATGCGCTGAAGACCTGGTTCTGCCAGTGGGCCTGGGGAACCCAGAGCAAGATGAAGCCCATTAAATGGCTTGTGTGAGATGTTGTCACCGTAGCAGGGGGTGGGGGTGATTTTATTAAATTAATTTATTATATGACTCTTATTAATTTGAATTGTTTTAGATGAGGTTCTATATTCTGTAAGCCACCCTAAGTCACCATGTGCGAATAGGCAGCAATATAAGTTTCCTAAATAAATAAACTTTCAAAGCAAACTGTCAGCAAAAACATTATAATATGTAAGCTGCCTCGTTAAAAAATTAACTATGTTAAGTTGCTCTAATTTTTGAAACTGCATTGCTTTCTTTCTTTTTTAGAAACAGCTGGAAATAGAATGATTCCATATGAGGCACTGAGAAATCCTATTATTTCAGTAATTCCTGTCCCCAAACCAAAATCCTTTTATAACATTTACTCACAATTAAATCCCATTCACCAATGTCGCCTTCTCTGTTAATTAAAATTTTCTCCATGTATATTCAGTCTGTTGCACTTCTTCATATTCAGCACCATTGAAGGAATTACCTCTTAATTTGCTAAATTTGTATTCCCTGAGAAAAGGGGAAAGGTTTTTTTCCTGCCTTTTCTAGTCAAAGAGCACTAAATAAACAAGCTTGACTAAGTAAGATATAATTTATTGCTAATCAGAGGCTGGAGCAGAACAAATGACAAAACAATATCATTTTGCTGAGATACAAATAGTCCTTTTATCATTTTCTCCAAAGTATCAAAAGGATCCTGAGTATACCTGTATTTGCTGATCTTCTAATCCATCCTGAGATTACTAAAGTCCACAAATATACTATTAGTAGACATTTAGTTTTCTCAAAAGGTAATATGGCAAAATTTAGACAGATGTAGGCACATTTGCAAAATGCTAATTCCATTTATAATTTTGAAACATACATTTGAAAGACAGGAACTTAATGAAAAAGTCTGTTGAAGCCTCATAATCAATTAGGATGGATAAAAGAACATATGGATGGAGACTAAGCCCTACAACAAAATTTTGATGGCAAGTTATTGACTTATTTCATCAGAGATGGGTACGTTTATATAACATGGGAACCTTTTATGGACTTTTTTGCTGAAACTGGACAGAACTGTCACTGATTTTTGGATTTGCAGGTTGAAAATAGGTTGGAATGTGAGAAGAAGCGATATATGTAGCATAATTTCAAATGTAGAGGAGAGCTACCAGGGTTGTCGGTATCCATTGTAAAGAAGATAAGAAGTTGCTTCTTTTAACATACTTTTCTTTTTGTCTTTTTTCTTTTATTTTTTGCACTTCCTATTTTTCTTTTCATTTCTTTTTCTTCTATTTCCTCTTTCTCTCTTCCATTTTATTTAGTGTTAGTTTTTATTACTGTTAAAAAATGTCAATGAAAATCATTTTAAAAAGAAGAGTGTGCATAGAACAGTCAACAATGGCATCCTTCTAAGAGAATTCTTGCAAAGCTTCAGTTGACCATGATTTATAATATGGATGTCCAACCTTTTGGCTGGCTTTGGCTGCATTTAGTGAACAGGATTGATCTTGGGTCTATGTTTGGTGGCCTCCAGAGGAACACCTGAAGAATAATCAGTTACTGAATTTCAGTTATGGAAGTTGTGGAATGGCCTAGACTGGAATAATTCTGGATCTTTATCCCACCACCTATAATGTCACCCAGTTCCTTGGACGTAAGGTGGGGCAGGAGCTGCTTCTCTTTGCTCCTGCTATGAAGGACTTCTGATTTTCTTCAGTATCATCACAGCCCACAAATGCAGGGACCCGCCAACCTAAGCCTTGTTACGGTGTTGGGGCACAGAAAATGCAGCAGTTTCCCCAGTGAAAGAAGGAAACAGTAATTTTCTCACCAAGTATCTATAAAGCTGCTTTCCCAAACCCTATTCCCTTCAGATATGATTGGTACAGGAATGTTCAAAAATGGCTGTCTTTTCAGTTAGAGACTTTTTCACTGATTTATTCTCTAAGGCAGGGGTCCCCAAACTTGGCAACTTTAAGACTTATGGAATTCAACTCCCAGAATTTCTGGGAGTTGAAATCCACAAGTCTTAAAGTTGCCAAGTTTGAAGAACTCTGCTCTAAAGGCCTTCCAGACTCATGTTCTCAAACCACCAGGAAGTCAAGGATTCCAGTCCATCAAGGCAATTCACCGGCTCTAATTATCTACCTTGGCAGCAGTACAATTTACTAATGCTGAGTCTTTTCAGTGAAATATTTCTCTTTGGCATTTGCCACAAACTGTAATGTTATTTAGTACACTGGAACAGTGGATCTGTTCTATCCTAAAATTCTATCAGGCTTTAAAGACTCAGAAGGCCTGTCTACTGTAATCCTTATTTTGTTCATTTTTTTCCCTCTTTCAAATTATATATTGTTCTTGGGTGGGGCTTCCTCCCACTATGTGTTAGCAACTAGCAGGAGGTGGTTCTGATTTTATTGGCAGCTTGTAAGTCAAAATAACAAAATAGCCCTTCTGTTTAAGCAAGCACTGTGAGCTGTTGAGAGGGAAGGGAAGAGGGATAAAAACACAATGTGCAGCCTTGACAGGAACTGTCAAAGAATGATGAAACAATTTTGGAAGGGGGTTAATATGTGGCCAAATTTCCCCTAACTCCCTGAGCAGATTTAGAGATGTTGATTCAGCCACACCTAAATGTCTTTTCCTAATGACTTTCTGTAGAAATATCCATTATAAAGTGAGGAGACACTCCACCAAGAGTCTTGAGGGAATGTTCCTTGAACAGATAAAACTTCTCAGTATGCATTCAACATTTCATTCCCACCTTTAATCAAGCTCCCAATTTTAATATATTACCAATAGGTTATCAGAGTTATCGTCTGACATATACGTAGCTTTGCAACCAAATCATTCTCTTTAAGTTACCTGATTATTGCCACCATGCCTGCTATTTTTACTCTGTTTGTATTTTATAAATTACCAGAGGATTGCACAGAAAGTATTCGTTGTAGTACAATGGCTGTAAGCAAACTCACATAACTGTTCTATTGCATTGCTTTGGCCCTGACCTGAATGATTGGTCTGCTATCTGAAACAGGATAGGAAAGTTGTATTGCAAAAGCGAAGCCTAAAGGAAGTTGTGATATAAAGTTGGTAGCCTTCCTTTCCACACCAGAACAAGCATGTGGATGATATTAAATCTATATCTCAAGAGCAGCATGTCTCGACCCAAGCCTATTCTTCATCATAGAGTTTATTCTACCCTACTCTAGAAAACTATTTCCATTTAACTGGAAGCAATTACAAAATACCCTAACAACTTGAACAGAAGCTGTGGTTGTATACTTTAAGATAAGATGTAGAAGAATCAAGATTTAAAGGGTTGGGCCTGCAGAGATGTCCTCAGTTTGAGCCCAGGACTGCCCTATTGGAAGTCAAATGACAATATTTGACCTAGAATACACTGTAAATATGATGAATTCTACTAAATCCTGAGTGTGTCTTCTTATGTCTATTTTCACTTATTGATCTACATTTATGCTTTGCTTTTCAAGTCCGAAAGCATTTCCCAGTCAGCTAATATTAGATACAAAACTGCATAGAGAGAAATGATAATCAGTCTCTCAAAGTCCTACTAAGCCAAAAAAAATCTTCAATAGCCTAATCACCTGAGTTTGAACAAGTGTGTTGCCCGCATTCTGCCTAATTATTCCAACTTGTCAAAAAAGCACACCCAAATGACCTGAGGAATTTACCTCAGTAGAGTATTTTTAACATTAGTTCCAAGCTTGGATTATTAGCCTGACACTCATTATTTTAACCAGATAAAACTGGAATTTAGGATTGTTTCTTGTCTTAAGCATGTGCGTTCTTTGAAGTGCAACAAGCTACTGCCTCAGGCTAGATTAATTTTGCCATAGCCTCAGGCAGTATGACCTACCCAACCTTGGCTGATTTTAGAAATCTAAGCAAGCAAGTTTTTGGATGGGTGACTACCAAGAAGTACCAGAGTTATATACTAGACTGAAAAGTTTTTTTAAAAAAGAAAACCCTGAAAATAGCAAAGGCAAACCACCTACATCTTGTTGTCACAAAGTCATCAGGGGTGCAGTATGAGACTTTCTTGCTCAAATGTAAGACAGAAACTAATACTGGACTGTTTAAACAGAAATTATAACCTGAAACACGTAATAGCTTGTTATATGCAATTCTTTTCTGTAGGATAGATACATTAACATCAATGAAGTTAGCCTGGCATTATTGGTATCTGGATTAACAAACTACTTTGTCTATGTAGAACCAAAGACTCTAAAATGTTTATCAAACATTTCTTACCTCGAAACTTCTTAGGTGGATTATCCAGATCTCCAGCTGCAGGTTCCACCACGCAGCGGTCATCCACCAGTCTGCAAAATAAACAAGAGAAAAAGAAGTCATTTTTAAGGTTGTTTTGTATGCCACCCAGAGTTGTGCTACATGTGAAGGACAGCCATATAACTATCATAAAGAAAAAAGAAAAAAAGCAAATTGGTTTTGATTTAGACAGGTAATTTGTAATTTTACTAATCAGTCTGTTTTATCATTTATCATTTATCATTTATCATTTTATCATTTTATCACTTTATTTAACACTGTGGGGTCTAGTTAATGTTCTGCATTTATTAAGAGTAAGAAAATAATTTAACTTGGCAATGTAAATTTTTAAAACTAGTCTCAGACTTTGGAATTTAAGAGAATCATATTTTGGGATATTATGCAGTCAGACATTTAGTAATAAGGTTCAACCAGTGCAGAAATATCAACAAACACAAATGGAAAAACTTGTGGTTTTCAACAGTAAACAGAAATGTCCCAACAGACGTTTTTCTATTAAGAATCATTCAGGACAAATGTTTGTTTAAACTAAACTGTAGTCAATATCAATTCTTCACATTTTTGCCCCCATGCTTTAAAAAATTTCCTTTTTATAAAGCTTTAAAATAATTAATTCTACAGCTAAATGTAATTAGTTGTTATTTAGCATGAGATTCTAAAATAGATAACTAATGGAAAGACATTTTGTGCTGCAATTTAAAATGATTTCAGGGGCAATGTTAAGGTTCTTAATAAGCTGATTTGTAATTTTAAACATCTGGAGTTTGACCATTCCATACTCTTGAGTCACTTAAAGACTGCATATTGAGTACACCATCTTTCTGGCACCAAGTACATTCAAAGGAAAGTCATTCTTACTGTCAACCAACATTTCTAAAACTTTATAAGAATCACAACTGGTTTGTTTATTTGCTTCATACTGTAAACCAATTAACAATTAATCTGTGACATCTACTAAGGATAGATCCATACTGGTGGGCTATGCAGACTTTAAAATTTCTCATTCCCATCTATAGCTTGTTTCATACATTTCACAAACCACAACATGGCTTGTTCTTAATTTAATGTTTTATTAAATTTATTTATTTATGTATTTATTCATCATATTTAAGAACCACCCATCTCCCTCACAGAGGGACTCTGTGAGATATACAATCAAATATGCTGTGCAAAATTACAATATCGTGCAAAAGTTCATTTATTTCAGTAATGCAACTTAAAAGGTGAAACTAATATATGAGATAGACTCATTACATGCAAAGCAAGATAGTTCAAGCTGTGATGTGTCATAATTGTGATGATTATGGCTTATAGCTCATGAAAACTCTAAATCCACAATCTCAGAAAATTAGTATATTACATGCAATCAATTAAAACAAGGATTGTACATAAAA